AAAAGTTCTTCTTGACCCGCGTGACCCCCCCCCCCCCAAAACAATCCTCAAATCCCAAACACTGTTTGAGAGTGTGCAGCAGTTTTGTTGGTGTCAGAGGTGAAAGCTGTGTTCCTACTCAGCATTCATCCACCCTTCTCTGGCATTTTCTCAGCCTGTGCTGAATCTTAGAAAGAGTCCTCGCTCTCTGTTTTCTGACTCATCAGCATTCTTCCTCATGTCGAACTTTTCTCCCCCCCCCTCCCGGTTCCCCCGCCTCAACACTCTTTCAGATCAGCATCTTTCGCTGTCTGGATTCCCCCTATGACGAACCCTACCCGTGATGCACTTGTGAAACCATGGCAACAACAGAACCATAGCAACCTGAGTCGACTTTCCCAGCCTCATCGGCGGACCCCTCGGAGGCGTTTCTTCAAAATGTTTAAACCAGGATGAAAGGAGACGAGAGACGAGCTAATGAAGACGTGTGAGGAAATGTGAAGTTTTTAATGATCAGAGAAGTGACGGCTCGAGACTTCAAATCTCTCTCTAATCATTATCCTGTTCGTCAGGAGGCGTGGTCAAACTGAACCAGCATCACACCAAGAACACTTACTGACCCACTGCGGACCCGGACAGCCGGGGGGGGTTGGCGTTTTTCTGCTTGTTCCCTTCAGTCGGAGATTTCCCAGAAGTCACTGCTTCATCATGAAGACAGGAAATGGTTTAAAACATACCTGTAAGAAGGACGTCCTCTGGCAGGGTTTGTTTTTCATGGACCCTAGTGGGTCTGCAGCTCGCGGGTTTGAACCGGCGCCTGTTGAGCGAGGCGGCAGCTGAGCAGCCTGCCAGCTCCCACGGGGGGTCGGTTTGAATCCCTGCCCAGACACAGACTCAGGGCCGCCAGAGAGAGAGAGCCAGAGAGCGAGGAAGAGAGTCAGTCAGTGTGCACGCCGTGACACGTTTATGAGAAAACACGGACAGATGAAAGACGCCGCTTGTTTCGAGAGTGAAGAGATTTACAGTCGAGACTGAAGCAAAGATAGTTTATGAAGTTTTTAATTTAATTAATTAATTTTCCTGAGCTGAACGAGAACCAAACAAGTGAGAATAAAAAACGATGACGAAACGGGAGCTCAATTTGAAACCGATAAAAATATAACAGAGTTTGATGAATGTGATAAATATACGTTTAACTCCTCGTCCCACATTGAACCGGTTTGCTGTTGGTGTGTTATTCACCATGGGGGGGGGGACTGTTAGCTCGATGCTAACTCAGAGCTATAATTAGCATTGGGATGGCGGTCATTTAAAGGAGTGAATGAAAGAGGATTCTCCTGAGCAGGTCAAAATCAGATCACTTCATCCCATCGCACCTGAGAGCACCAGGAGACTACAGGGCCTGAGTCTTTGTTTCTGCAAGTCATTACTGAACACTGACTTTTTGTGTTGGTCGCTCCGCACCCTCCGACGTAAATCTGCAGCTCAGTTTCTAAGCATGGGGTCCCGGGTCAGGTGGGTTTCTGGGGGGCTGTTGGGAGTCCTTGGTTAGCCCCCGTTGGCTGCAGTAACTTTAATTCATTTTAAACACACACACACACACACACACACACAGACTTCGCTGAAGGACAGTTTGTTCAGGAACACGTCCGTGTGCTTTCATGAGAGTTTGAAGTGAATTCAGAGGAAAAGTTTTTTTTCCCGGCGTGCAGCTGAAGGTTTAGAGGGGACGTGGAGACTCTGAAACAAAGCTGGCAGGGACACACGTTTGTTCCCAATCGCTGCTCCATTTTCATTCAGGCTGTGTTTCCATGAAGCAGCGCGGGCACACATGGATTCCTCTTGTGGCCGTACGTTTCACTATCAGC